TTACAAGTTGCAACTTTACTGTTTCAGTTCACTCTCATCAGTCTTGTTTCCAGCTGCAGCAGGCCAACAAAAAAAGATTATGCAACACTTTTAAATGAACACCTCAGAGTAGGGAAATGTTTTGCATAAGTGATTAACTTAAGTCTGAAACTTTCCCTCAGGTGGTAGAGACCAAGCTGACTAAGCTGAATATTGTACTTAACATTCGCCAGGTAACTTGAAACACGGCTCCAAATGAATGCTAATGTTGCTGCATGTCTGATGGATGTGTACATAAGGAACTGCTTGCTAGCACATTCACCACATCAACTTCATAAGGTGATAATGTGTGTTTACACCTGATTGCCATGCACCTAAGTGGCCCAGTTAATGCAGGTTTAAACCCCCCCCCCCCATCGGAAAACCACTCCTCAAATATAAACAATCAGAGATGAAGACCCGATATGTCTGCTTTATAGGTTTTGGCTCATCTGTAAAAGATTAAACCAAATTCCGATCACATCCTGCTTGATGATATCCCGGTCAACCTGACTCTTGATAAAGCACCCTGCTGACTGAAATTTGAGTCAATCCAAACTAAGATCCATTATTGAAAATAAATGTGAATGATGTAATTGGAGATGATCATAAAAATGTATCAAAGAGTTTCACTGGGGAAAGTATTTAAAGTCTTACATTTGTCAGATATCCAAGCATGCTCATCTCTAAGTGGCGGTATTATACTTTTTTTCTTTGAGGGCATTTCTTCACCACAGCTGCCTTTGACTTCCCAGTACTGAAAGAGTGAGAATTACACTGAAGGCTGCAGGGATCATTAAGCACTAAGTTACAGAGGAAAATGTTTCAGTCTCATGAGCTGTCTGGAGAGACAGACAACAGGATCTGCTTGTATCATGAAGCAAGTTCAATAAAATCTGGCTTCACTGACCCTTACATTGTTGTTCCTGGATAACCGGTATCACAAAGCTGGTTATCAACTCTGTTACTTTTGGTTTTCTAATCCAGTTGTGTTCATGTTCTTAATTACAAGCAACATGTTCAGAGCCATGAGTGAAGTACTTAGTATAGTGGCTGTCAAATATTTCCTGGCATGCCCTCATGGCCGGGGGCATAAAATAAAATATGGCATAATGAAAACCATTATTTCATAAAAATGTTTTAAAAACGTATAATGACTTTCTCATTTCTTACTGGGATTTACGTTTGTACACTGATATTTATGGCAGGAAAGAGGTTTTGCCTTGTTTCATCTGCTAAAAACATTATAAATTGTTCTAAATAACTATTAAGTAGGCTATAAATAATCCTGGCCAGCCTTTAGTATGACATCATTATATATCCAGACTTTCTCTCAGCACTTGATTTCCAGCATCCTTTCCACACCCCACAATTTCACTACTACTTTCAGCTGTCATTAACAAAAGGGGAGAGGGAAACCAAAACTAATAAAAAAGGATCCAAGTTGAATTTTAGTGAAATAAAGGTCAGCACAATAGCATCAGCAATGTCTTGTTTGTTTGTTCCCTGGCCACCTGCAGTTGCTCCTTGCCCCACAAGTGGGGCCTGCCCCGCAATTTGAGAACCACTGACTTAATATGACATGAGATGAAACTGAAATAATGCTGTTTTTCTGGTTTCACATTCCACTTTACTTTGTGACTCTGTGAAACTTTGTGACACTGCAGTTAAACCCAAAGATAGCTGCTGACCCCCTACTCTCGCTTCGTGATACAGGCTCCTGATCTGTACAGCGATAATCTGCGTACACATACAGGATAACATGCACCCATGCTTTGCAAAAACTTCCTTTACACACTAAAGAAGTTCTCCATGACTCCATGAAGATATATAATTAAGACCAGCAGGAGTAAACAGAGGACAGAGGCTAATGAGTCTTATTATTTTCTCCCACCGCACAGGGCGTATACTTAACCTGTCCTCTTCCTCAGTACATGAGGTACATAATGCTGACCGGAATACTAATTGTTATGATTTCCCAGCTCTGAAAGACTCGGATAGCAAGTTTTTTTAGTGCAGGATGACTGAGAGTGAATCTTGAGAAAGGAGGGTATATTTTAATCACAGCCTTACAATGATAAATGGGGGGGGAGCCAACCTAAATGCTGCTACACCTGCAGCAATCATTCCATCTGCTTTAATTGTTCTACATCTTCGGCATCAGGACACCACAGTCACTGAACAGATTCTGCAGATTCACAAGACTTTCACTTGTCATGCTGGCCTTTTAAACTGCTTAAAAACCAACATACTAATGTTCTTGGGCAGTTAATTGGTTTCTCTGGGCATGTCCTTACACACTTGGCCTGATAGGAGGGAGGGGATATACACGACAGACGTAAGCGGTGGATTCCCATACAGATCAGACATGTCTTAATTGTACCATTGTAGAATTGAACTGTGTTTGTCTGAGGCAATGCAGTGCAGAAAGAAATTACTAAAAAGAGAGTGGTCTTTGGCTCACAGGGAATTATTCTTCCTCCTTCACACTGTAACTGAGTTTAACTGAGGAAAAAGACATTGAGCTCATCCGGCAGGGTTTAAGAAAACACTCTTTAAACTCTTTTTCTCAACCCTAACTCTAACATTTTATACTAGTATTTAAGTGCTAATTAAAGTATTTATATTCTCACAAATCTCACCTTTTGAGACAATATTGTTCTAAACGTATTTCCATTTCAGCTTTAGAGGGAATGTCAAACAGAGAAAGCTGTCATTTCCTCTCAATAAGACCTATCATATTATGGCTGAAGATGAGATAAAGATTGATGACACTATTCAATAAAAATCAATCGTAAAGCACCTATTTATTTCACCATAATATTGACGTCTTAAACTGCAGGCTTGGCAGGAGTCTAAACCTGCTTGAAGTATTGGAGATGACAGCATGTTGAAAGCTAGTAATTATAGTATTACACGGTGAATTCAATTCACTCCGACATTCACCACTGACTGAGTGTGACTATGCAGGAGTTCATGCAGACACTGGAGTGATTTGACTCTGCATAATGGACAAAGATAGAGCCACAGGTGGTAGTTTTTGTGTGGCTTGAGAAGTCTCATACTTTACCTTATATTGTGCTCAACAACATAAAATGTATAAGGTCCAAATCTCTTTCTGTCTTTTCTAACCAGCAATCCAGATGCTTGCCTCCACAGTTATTGCTGTCAACAGTTTAACTGAGAACTTCTTCAAAAGTTACCTGCCAACTGTCTGCTCATGTACTCATGACCAAGACTAGCTCAGTCGTGACAACGTTCAAGTGAACTCACCAACCAACACTGACCTGATGCCCAGCTCAGTAGAACACTGTATGTTTACATCCACTTCCATGTGATGGTGTGTTTTTGTAGAGGTCTCGAGCTGATACTGACTCACTTCCCTCGGCACAGAAATAGTTTTCTTAGACAGCAGGCATCTGCACTTTTCAACCTCAGCAAATAATGTCAGAGATATATGGATGGAGAGAGAACACATTGTGTAAGAAGTATAAAAATGGGTTGTTCAATGTCATTGATTAACCTTCTAAAATGTGCTGTAGCTGTGAGTCTTGGGTTTCCTTAATTGCAACACCTTTCTTTACATGCAGAGGTACTGTAGCTGCATGGGTCATTAACACAATGTCACCATATCTAACCAGTGGTGGAGGATGTGCTCAGATCCTTTACCAAAAGTAAAAGTACCAGAGTCATACTGTTAGTAAAAGTCCTGCAATCAAAATGTTAAAAAGGAAAAGTACAGATGTGTTACCAAGAAAATGTACTTCAAAAGTATTGACTGCAGATAAATTGGCAGCAGCATCTTACTGTTGTAGCTTAATGAATATTTCCATTCTGGATTCATCTGCTGATTGTTTTCTTGATCAGTCCATGGATTGTTTAGTTTGTAAAATGTAAGAAAATAGTGAGAAATGGCCATCACAATTAATCAGAGCTCAAAGTGATACTTTCAGATTTCTTGTTTCGCCCAACCAACAGTCCAAACTTCAAAATTACTTAGTTTACTGTCGTTTGGACCAGGAAAAACAGCCAATTCTCACATTTTATAAGCCAAAACCATAAAGTGTTATCATATACTACTAATGAATTATCAAAATAGTTGCCTATTCGTTTTCTGATAAGTGACTAATTGGATATAATTGTATACTAGTTTAATCTTTTACAATGCATCTTATTTATAATTTATGTAATCTGCTAAGTAACCAGTATCTCCAGCTGTCAGATTGTGTGTGGAGTAAAAAGTATAATATCGTAGTGGACCAGAAACTAAAAATACTAAACGTACATTAAATCTGTACTTACATAGGACCTGAGTAATTTTATTGTTACTTTTTGTTTTTCTGGTTGCTTTATAACATACCCAGTAAAAATCCCCTGCTACCACTCCATATAAAACTCAGATCCGCCTCCGTATACGTTCAGCTGTGTTGCATCGTGACCACAAGAACCAGATGGATTCAGCTCTCCCTCCTGAGTCCTGTGACCTTAGGGTATTTGTGAAAAATATAAATGCATCTCTCTGCAGCCCTCACTGGCACCCATAGGAGCCCCACAGATAGTTTTGTTAGAATACTCAGACCATTTATGTCTGAGTGGAAAACATAGAAGCCTGTTGTAAGGGGACACACACATAATATATTTAAAAAATCAGAATTAATGAAACCATATTTATCTACGCCAAGTATTCAACTTGGATTAGAAAACTTGGTATGAATGAATGACGTAGGCTATGCATTACGCAGTTTAAAATTACATTTTTAAGGAATGAATTTATCTTATATTCAGTAATTGTGGAGTGTCTTCTGTCTATCCTATAATTAGGCGTTTATTTGTTTTATAAAATGACAAATTGGGGAGCAGCCCCTATACTGCGATCATTCACCACATCCAGTTGCGCACGACTTGGTGACATCAGTGGGACGAGGGATCCTGAAAAATGACTCCAGCGTTGGTGTGACGACAGTGACCAGTAAGTATAAATGCTGAGACGGAAAGTTATCTGCTCATACCTCTAGACTTGGCCTGTACAGGTCACCAACCGCTGCAAGAGGCTGAGAGCAACTCAACAGAGGCTGAGAAAGAGGAGAATTTGGATACTTCCCAGGTGAGTCTGTCGCACTTCAGAATAAATATGTCTATTTTTTGCGTTAGTGGTTTTGCTTTCTCATATCTGGATGGGTAACATTTATTATGTGTTATCCAAGGGTATTTCGGAGGTTTTTAGACAGCATGGCATTCATTTAGAATCTTCTCTTTCTGTAAGACAAGTTTAAAATGCTGCTACAACAGTGAAATTATTCTAGTTGTTTCCAAAGCAGACTGACTTGCTTCAGGATTTTGTAAGAACTTGTATCCAGTCAGAATTAAAGCATATTCAGGTTTAGGAAAATTGTTCTTAACAAGTTGAACATGTTGCAATTTGCACTTGAGAAATAATCTTCTCTGATTGTTTCACTTTTCTCAGAAAAAATAAACTTTGAGTCAATATCATGAAACAAATAACCTCACAAATGTACTTACAGCAGTGTCAGCTTAATTTTATGTCTGTAATATAGGGTATTTACCATCGACCACAATCTATTTCTCCAACAGACGACCAACTAAATTACCATGAAGTCGACATGTCTGATATTCTTGGCTTCTCTCGTGGTCTGCAACTTGACTGTGTCTGGAGGACAGGGCATCCCCGCTGAGGATGAGAGGGACCGAATGACCATAGACGACATCATACTACAGAGAGCAGAAGGTCTCCTGTTACGGTCCATTCTCAAAAAGATGCAGGATGAAGACGGCAGAAACGGTGCGTAAAATCTGTGTCTTGGATCAATTTCAGAAACGATTGATCATAACGTACTTATAACATTTTCATTTTCGGTTTCAACCTGTAATTAAATTCCGAGCTATTATTTATACCTACTGTTTTAAACTGAAAGTCTAAAGTGGCAACATAAGTTATCCCAGTAGGATACTTATAAACTATCATAAAATTTATTTTTGAAATTGTGTTTAAAACATTAGATTGACAAATATATGCTTCCAATTAAATATCATGTAAAGACCACCAATTTGTGCGCAATTTACGCACGGTATAGAAAAGCTGGGGAAACTATAAATATATTACTACTAAAAATATTTTCCTTTCTCCAGAAGGATCTTCCTCTCAGACAGAATGGGTGACAAAACGACAGCATCCCGGTAAAAGATACATGGAGGATTTGGAGAAGCGGCAGCATCCAGGGAGGAGAGAAGAAGACGAGGATGAACAGTACTTGGATGTTCAAAGGAGACAGCATCCGGGCAAACGCGAAGATGAAATGCACTCGTTCATGGAGCTCCAGAAAAGGCAGCACCCGGGAAAGCGCACCACGATGGGACACATTTCTGACAACCCCGTAATGCTAATGAGTGAACTTTCAAAACGACAGCACCCGGGCAAGCGCTACCTGGTGCTGCAGAGCAAACGCCAGCACCCAGGTAAGCGCCATCCCGAGGATGAGGACGGCGACGGGGACTGGGAGGCAGATGAGGATGGAGATGAAGACCTCCCTGAGTTGGAAAAGCGTCAGCACCCAGGAAAACGGTTTTGGGATAACTCCAGTCCGGATTTAGGCACAAACAGTCCGTGTGACGTATTGGACCCTACGAGTTGCAGCAAGGCCAGCTTGCTGCTCGACTTTTTAGACAACATTAGCAAGAGTCATGCCGAGGAGAAGAGACAACACCCGGGTAAAAGGTTTGCGCCCGAGGAGGATTCAGTGGAAGGAGAGTAGGTTAAAGAAAAATCTGGTGTGCGTTTACTGCTGTAATGTAAACAAATACATGTGTAAATTAAGTGACCACAATGAATTATTAAAAATGAAAAAATAATTTTGATCATTTAACCTTTTGTGCCACAGTTTTTCTTTGGCAGCCAGTTACTGTATCATCATCGCAAAACATGTATCTGCTGTTTGTTTCTTTGGAGAGCTTGTGCGTAATTGTCCTCCAAACCTGACTATATCGCTGTAAATAAGGTTTGATAAGAGTGTGTGCCCTATGTTGAACTTTATTAATAAATAATTATTATAATTATCATTATTTAGTATTTCTTTTCCATTAATTAGGCTACTCATGCTAAAATCAAGTCCAAGAATGAAAGCATTACTCTACTGACTTTTGCGATGTTGCCTCTGTGAGGCAACACACCCTTGTCAGTGCAGCACATGCTTGATATATAATAAAGGTTCACAGTTATGTATAGGAGATCCCTTCATTTATTGATTTGTGTTTCATTCTTTTCTACTTATGTAAAATATAATTAATACCACAGCAAATAAAATGTGTCATTGATTATTTTTCTAGTCATTCAAGCATGGATTAAGTTTATTTAACCTAATGTTTAAATTAAAAGCTACCTTTGCCTTAAAGTCAACCACCAGTTTTTATGTTGGACAATAAACACACACATTGGTAAACAAAAATGTGTTATTTGCTTTAGTCACTATTAAACTGTTTATTCAGCCCAATTAGGTCTAATTGGTGTGTAGTCCAACAAAGCAGTCAGCCTGCCATAGTCTCATCTGGAAAGATTAATGCAATTCAATAGCAGACAGAGTGTCTCAGGTATCCTCTTCTGAGTTTAATTGGGCTCATTCCATCAGAGCCTTGGGAGCAGCTGTCCACAGGCCTGATCAGTATGCAAATTATTCACCAGTCACGTGAGTTAGAGATGGAGACGCTCCCCTGAAGCACGTGAGCACACATACCCCCAAACCCTGAACGCACGTGAGCACACACACACACACACACACACACACACACACACCTTTCAACTCCAGTGGTAATGCTCAGAGTCAAGGGGATCGACAAGCCAGTAAGCAGGAGAGACTGCACGTTATGAAATATACAGGACACAGGAACAGTTTTTCCTGCATGAACTATATTTTGGACTCCCAGAAGGTGACAGGCAATAGATACAATTTAGCTTAACCCCCTGTTTTATGTTTAGATCTGCATAATATCTGTGAAAACTATAACACACTCACACACACACACACACACACACACACACACACACACACACACACACACACACACACACACACACACACACACACACACTTATATTACTCTATGGATAGTGTAGTTCACATAACCCACATGTTATGTCCTTATAGTGGCAATGTGAGTTTTGAGCAGTTCAACCAAAGACTGATGTTTCCTCTTTCTTGAGGCCTGTAAAGGTTAATCTATCAGCATTTCACAAAACAAAAGCCAAAATTAGAAAAAAATCACAACAAATCTGTTTACATCAAAAATAATTTTACTTAATAGAAATATTTTTCAATCATCTTGTGATGCCTTAGATTTATGGCTTGACCCCCAGATTGAGAAGTACTGACAATATAGTTTAATTTGTTCCTGTCTGATGAAGGGGACCCCCACTAGTAAGCTTTTGGCCCCTATTGACCCCTAATCCTCCTACTTTCTGTGCATTGTGTGCACCCTGTTGTCATGAAATGCCCAACAAGTAAAGTGCAAACAACCCACTACCCCTGGCATCTGAATTGTGTTTTGCCACAGAGCCCCAGAAACAGAGCTGTAGGTTAAAGCTATACACTTTATAAAACTATAAACTGAAACTAAAATAAGTAAAGATCTTAATTATGACACACGGCCACTCCACACACACTGAGCCTCAGTCACAACCTAGGATCCACCTGAGTTCTCTTATCATTTCAGGTTATATTGTAGTGCCGATTTGCAATTAATTAAATTGCCCCAAACCGACTGACACACATTGAACTTGAGGCCTCTGGGGCAATTTCCTGTTTTACACACCAACCTTGCATTTTCCAACATAACCGAGTTTAAAGAAAGCACTCCATTAGTCTTGTGAAACAAATATGCAGCATGAACTGGTCATGTTTATAGTTCAGATATCAAATCAAATTCAAACAAATAAGAATTACTAGAATAAACACACAATGGTAATAAGTACAGACAGTATCTGCTTTATGAACTAATTTAAGAATAGCAAGTTGAGAGGAGAATGTCACACTCATGTGTCTCCCAGTACATTGAAGTCTCCAGTGTATCTGTGTGAAAGAGCGTGTCTGCAGCCCGGACATTGAGCTCGTGGCCGCCGGACTTCGTCCCGGTTGTCTGCCATGGTGGCTTTCCAGTGTTGTCGCCATCACTGTCTATGTTCCTCACAGTGGTCTTCATCATCACCATCACTGTTTACATTTATGATGTCTTATTTATTCTCCTGTACAGCACTTTGGTCAACTTTGGTTGTTTTTAAAGTGCTTAACAAATAAAGTTGGATTGGATTGGATCCAGTGCCTGAATTGGCCCAAAAAATTATAAAAAATTATTATTTTGCTGTTTTTTTAAATAATTTTTAAAAAGGTTTTCAGTGCTTTTCTTAGCAATAAGCTAGTTGTGTTTACACAGAGATGCAGTTATTCAGGAGTACCTCACCAGCATTGCTGTACACAGGGTTTTAGAAATGACAGACTCAGTAAAAGGTAAGGGTACTTGTGGACAAAAATTAGAATGGTACTCAGTACTGGTGAGTACTGGCACATTTCAGGCAAAAAACTATTTATATTAAACTTTCAAAATCAGAGGGGGAAAGCATAGTGTGGAGAAAAATGAATCAGTAGTGGCAACAGAATTGAGGTGACTGAGAATTTGACACAGCAACCTACATTTTTTGACATTTATTTTTAGGCTTTTTGCTTTTTTATTGGATAGTACAGCTGAAGATAGACTGGAAAAGGGAGAGAGAGGGGATGACGTGCAGCAACCGGTTGGATTCAAACTCACGGCTGATGCAGCCAGCCCTACCAGGTGAGCAACTTAGTATATTTGTATTTACATGCTGAAATTACACAAAAGAAAATACAAGGGATGATCACAATTACAGAAAACAGGACATGTAGAGGCCAATGCAAAAAGTAAAGTAGAGTGTGGAGTGTGGAGGCAGTGTGGAGGGCAAAAACTGGGTTTTATGAGTAAATTTAAACAAATAAACAACATATCCAGAAGGAGGCAGTAATGCAACGGTAAGGATACCATCTGCCCAAACATTCAAAGAAGAAGAGTCTTGTGATCCATGGTTGTGATGAATCCCAGTTCTCGTGTGTTTCGTGTCGCTTGTCCCTCTTCCCTTCCCGTACCAACTGAATGCTAATCACATGACCAGGCAGGGCTGCTGCTGCTGCTTCTGCAGCTGGTGTTGTCGAGCTGTCAAAGGGAAGCCTGACTATCCAAGCACACAGTTATTGTTGGATTCATTTGTAAGTATACCCTATATACCCTCCTTGGTTGTTGATAAGTCCGCGAATATTTGTTTATGTTATGTTTATGTATTTATTCCCTTGTTTTGAAACAACGAGCTTGGAGAAAACAATGGCTAAAGATAGCGAGACCTGCTGCTAGCACTCAGTAGCTAACGTTACATCCTCTGCTCGGAGTGACGGCGACCAACGTTAGCCAAATGTATACAATGTGTAAACATAATAACCGTAGCCGCTGGGTAGTGAATATGCATATATAGCACATCAAAGAAAATACTGCTCGCTTGCAGTCACAAATATACATTTAGTTAAGTTTGTTTTTCACAGCCTGCGTGGGCTGGGTGGGTCAGGTATATAAACTCATAACTAACGTTATCTGGTAAGCGTTTAAAATAAATGTGGGTGCATTGTAATGTGCGTAAGATCAAGCCAATGCACGAAGTGTCAAATCACTGTAAAATGATTGATGTGTAAGATGGTGTGCAACTCATTAAACTACTGCAGTAGAGTTAGCTTGTTAGCTTTTCGTGTAACTAAAGGCTATGCCCCTTTGTTACTTCACCCATGAGAGCAATATTACACTACAATCAGCTAGATCTGTACAGATTTAAACACTCCAATTATATTTTAAGTAAAAAAAAAGTAAAAATATATTTCATATATATTGCTATATATATATATATATATATTTATATATTTAATCATCTAGAAGTCACCGTGTCATTGTAGTGAATTATGCTTTATTAGGGTTGCTTAAATGAATACATGTTTAAATGTGTGTTGGATTTTTGGGCAGGATAGGACACATTTGAATCTGGAAAGTATTTAGAATTTCATTTTTGGATTTTATTAAATATATGCTGCCTTAATCTGCGTTCCCCTACTCTTCAGTTTTTCAGGCTTTCCTTTGGCGTGATGGAGCTAATATGGGGTGGGTTGCACACCCTGTGACATGCGGACCGGAGCAAGAATCTCACACCTTGCATCTCCTCTCCAACAACACAGCCGACCGCCGTCATGGCCAGTTATCCACCCCCGTTTGAGGCCACAGTGGAAGTGAAGGAGGGCTTTCTTTGCCCACTGTGCCTAAAGGACCTTCAGTCATTCTACCAACTCCAAGACCACTACGAAGAGGAGCACTCTGGGGATGACCGCCACGTTAGGGGACAGCTCAAAAGTGAGTCCCGTTAAACTGAATCAGAATCAGAATCAGAATCAGAAATACTTTAATAATCCCAGGGGGAAATTATTTTCGTTACAACACTCCAGATATACAAACAACATATTATACAAACAACATATATATATATACAACATTCAGCACAAAAAATATAAATATATATATATATAAATATATTATATATATAAACTGAACATTGTTACACAGCCACAAATGCCAGAAACAAATATAATTCTGTACTGTTTAGTTCACCAAAAAGCAACTATAGCAGTACTATTTAAATTTGATATACAGGCACTGCAGTGTTGGATCAGGACACATTGTTGCCAGGATGAATTGGCAACTTTTTCTGCTGCAGCTTCTCAGAGAGGGACAGTAAATGAAATAGGGAAATCTTGGTTGGAAACAGAACCATGCAAGGGGATTTTTTTAGATATATATATAATTGTTCAGATTTATAATGGAGCTTAAATGATAGTACCATTAGTGGATGTTCTTGTGGTCTATGCACACACATGATACATACATCAGCTCCTGTGTATATAATAACCTCATGGAGGTAGTTGTGTCCTAATTTTCTTTGTGCACAGATTTGGTTCAGAAGGCAAAGAAAGCCAAAGACAAGCTGTTGAAAAGGGATGGAGATGACAGACCGGATACAGGCAGTTATGAGTCCTTCTACTACGGTGGAGTGGACCCCTACATGTGGGAGCCTCAGGAACTGGGTGAGACTGGAAAACTGGACTGTAAACTGGGTGGAAGTAAATCGCCACTATTTGTTTGTTGGTTTGCTTTTTAGTATCACTTGGATTACTTTTGATATATTATTAATGAGAATGATGATAATGAGAAGGCCTTAAAGCAGTGACCATATGCTGACCTCTCACTCTTTGTTTTTTTCTCTTTGGATTCGTAGGAGCAACCAGGAGTCACCTCGACTTCTTTAAAAAACACCGAGCAGCCAGGATAGATCACTATGTCATTGAGGTCAACAAGCTCATTATCAGACTGGAAAAGGTGTGCTTACAATATCAAATCACAACTCATTCACACCATGATGTTTATCCTGCTGTTGACACTTAAGATGGGCTCAAACGTTCTGTTGTGTTAACTGTCGTTTCAGTTGACATCATTTGACAGGACCAACTCAGATGCCGCCAAAATCAGAGGTTTGTCCTTGTGTGTTTTCATTATCAGTCTGAATGCTCTCAGTGTATGCAAATGTGATTTATTTGATATTATAAATTATTAATATTAATTAATGTTCATCCTCTTTTATAGCCATTGAGAAGTCAGTGGTGTCGTGGGTCAATGACTCGGATGTCCCGTTCTGTCCCGACTGTGGAAACAAGTTTAACATCCGAAACAGGCGCCACCACTGTCGTCTCTGTGGGTCCATCATGTGCAGGAAGTGCATGGAATTTGTCCCCTTACCTCTGGCTCGTACGTATCCACAAAACCCTCGCAAACTAGGGAAAATCATTAGCTATTCAGCTGAAGTTTTGCCATGTGTTTGTCACTGCTGTGAAATTTTTGCCTTTTGTCTGTTCACAGAAAAGCTCATCAGCGTGACACGAGAGGCCCTGTGCGTACCTGGAAGCCCCGTTCAGTCCCAGTCTCCCCCATCAGGAGGTGGCGGGAGTGGGATGGGCTCCAGGAGAGGCAGCATCAGCAGCCTGAGCAGCGTTACCTCCATGTTGGAGGAAAAGGACGACGAGAAGATTCGCTGCTGTCACCACTGCATGGACACACTTCTGAAAAGACAGCAGAAGCTGGAAGAGAAGGACCACATGCCTGATATAGTGAAACTTTACGAGGTAAAATAGAAAGGATCACTACAGATTTCACAATCTGTCTCTCCTTCTGTTCCCACCAATAGGGCAGTCGATTCTGTGTTTTCTTTTTCAACCTGTCTTGAGTTTACACTGTTGTATCCTTCCCGTCATTCAGTGTTTGCCTTTTGGGCTTTCCTGTTGTTCATTGGCTCAAAACTTGTCTTCCTGTCAGAGGCTGAGGATGTGCATGGAGAAGGTGGATGAAAGGGCTCCAGAATACATCAGAATGGCTGAGTCTCTTAAGTAAGCCCCATAAAAATGTTGTTATAACTAAACATATGAAAAATAATTTTGGGTCTTATTTGAGAGACTGTTGCTTCATGGCTGTATGCTTTCACAGCGCCGGAGAAACCACATACAATCTTGACACTGCTGGTGGACTGAGACTGGAAGTACAGAAATACTACGAACTTATTGACGCCCTGAGGTAGATGTCAGTCAGACAGAAGTCTTCTTCTTTTTATTTTGTTTTTAAGATTACGAATGGACACATTCTGTGTTTTCTCCTCAGCAAGAAGATTTTAACACTAGGAGCAAAAGATGATCCATCACCGCATCCGAAGGCCCTCCAGCTACAGAGGATGATCCGCTACACAGCCACACTATTTGTCCAGGTGAGATCAAGTTCATATAGTTCTCAGCTTGAAAAAACAAAACAAAAAACAAGCCCCATTCGGACAGAATAAATATTAAGCAGGGTGGTAGGTAACAAAATATTTCACCACCTCCCTCGTGATTTAATGCCGTCACTCCAGTCAGCATTTTAGCCACAAGCAAATTACAGGGGCTGGTTCTGTAACAGAGGATAAAAGACTTCAGGAAAACCATGTGAACCTTATCCACTGCGGGCTTGTTATTTTTATTATTGATATTATTTACTGGTAATTATTGATATTATTTACTGGTAATTATTAAGCTGTAACTGAATATTTAACACACAAATATGTTTCTTTCTATGATTATGCTTTTACAGTAAGAAAAGGAACTTGGATCTGCAACAATGTTGCTCACAACACATAAAATCAGTTCAGCTACACAAAGTTACGCAAAGCAGAATAACACTACAACAGCCCATTTGATGTCTTAGTCTTGTAAAGTTTACTTTTCACTTTTTCTGTCCTTGTTTGAGTCGACTCATGTTGGCAAGAGGTCTTTTTAGGTTAGCAAAATCCTTTTCTACTTGAGTTGTCACATTGTGCGCTCAGCTGATTAAACTAAAATGCGAAGTGTCTCTCCAGACTGGGCTTAAATTATGGGAGGACCACAGAGTTTGCTGAAAAACAGTAATTGGGACTGTAATTATGTAAAAATCACAGACGTGCTCTCTAGACGTGATGAAAACCACTGACCAGGACAGGTAATATTAAAATCACCCCTCCTCCCTTAAATCCTGTCTGAATGAGGCTGTATAGTGTCTTTCCAATCATCACTCTATTACATTTATGCAGTGTTCTGCTACGTATGTTCTGCTCCTTTGATCCCTTCCTTCCCTATGTCCTCCCTTAGGAGAAGCTGTTAGGTCTCATGTCTTTACCCACTAAGGAGAAATATGAAGAGCTGAAAGAAAAAAGGAAACAGGAACAAGAGAAGAGACTCCAACAAGAGAGACTGGTGAGATTGTGTACCTATACTTGATTTTTCATATGCATAACAAGTTGCAAAATGTTTATATTTTATATATTTCCCTGCTCAACAGGTGGCCCAAGAGGCCCTGAAGAAGAGGCAGGAGTCTGAGAAAAACCGTCCACCTCCAAGCACTAACGGAGAGCTGTCGCAGGCCCCTAGAGCTCCACGCATGACCAAAGCTGGTGGCTGGCTGCCTTCTGCAGACTCTGCCAATGCACGCAGTGAGCTGGAGGACCCACTGCTGCAGCAGATTGAGAACATACAGTCATTTCTTCGCCAAGCACGGGAGGCCCAGAGGACGGATGAGGTAGCCATGTTGGAAGAGAACCTGCGTCAGCTGCAGGATGAATATGACCAGCAGCAGACCAGTCTGGCCATCGTGCTTTCCCAGAAGCTCGCTGCGGAGGAGACCTTGCAGCAGGGGGAAATCCATCGTCTAGAAACCCGGGAAAGGGAGGAGAGGGAGCATTGGGGCCCCGCTGTGGGGTCCACTCTGCCCTCCATCTCCTGGGCGAGGTCTCTGGATATCAGTCCAGCAGGGGGCTACGAAGAAGAGGAAGACACTGATGCAGAGGAGCTAACTCCTAAAGCTGAGAGGAGTCCATCGTCTGTAAGAGCATTCCCTGCTCTCACAAGCCAGGAGGAGTCACCTCCCAGGCTGAGGAGCTTAGGGGGGCATGTAACCCCCCCTGGTGGTGAAGGACAGAATAGCAGCTCCCTTAACCCTTTTGATGAGGAGGACTCTACTCCCATTGAGGAGGATCCATCCAACCCCTTCTTTGAGGACATCAAGAAGGAACACAAAGAAGTAACCAACGGGAAGAAAGAATACAACCCCTTCGATGCAGAGGAAGAGGTTGGGGAGGACAAACCGGCTGAGGCCGCACCTGGCAACCCCTTTGAAGAGGAGGACATCACTGACGCAGGTAACCCTTTCCTGGAGGCCTCTGGGAGTTCTCCAGGAGTCTCGACCAACCCCTTTGAGGGGGAAGATGATGACGAGATTTTGCCCGATGTGGACATGATAGAGGAGGAACTGCTGCTGCAGCAGATTGACAACATTAGGGCCTACATTTTTGACGCCAAACTCAGCGGCCGTCTCGACGAGGTGGAGCTCCTGTCAGAGAACCTCAGAGAGTTACAGCACACCCTACAGGAGCAGAAGAAAAAGAAGCACTGACACCTCTCCCTCAACTCTCCCTCCTTGATTACCTGCTACTTACCAAGTCCTGTAAGGTTAGCTCACTTTACATGACTAATGAGCCCATTGATTTTAGTTTGGGTGAGGTCTGCAGCACCACAGAATGATTAGGTTAATCCCAATATTGAGTTCAGTAGTCTGGAGTGACACCCCTAATTTCCAAACATCTTTCTTAACCACTTATCCTGTACAGGGTCACAAAGGGCTGGAGCCTCTCCCAGCACGCACAGTTTTTAAGCACTGCAAAAAAAAAAAAAAATCATCAGTGCAAACATGAACAATGGAAGACAGAAGGATGCCACTTAAAAGATTTTTTAATGGGACAGTCAGATGGTTGTTTGAAATGAGTGTGGCTTTGGTCTTGTGGAAGTCAGGATGTGTGATTTGGCTCTCTGGCACAGAACAAAGTCAAAATATAAACATGGCTAAGGTTGAACAAATGTGAGCCATGAAGCAGTTTATGTACGTTTTAAAATATATGGTTGAATAATAATAATGTTTCAAGGGCTTTTTTCCCACCAAAATAAGTTAAAAAGAGTACTACACCAACTTACCATAGCACTCCTATAAGGCTGTTTTTTTTTTTTTTTTTTTAATAAAGGATAAAAATCCTTGCAGCAGGACCAGAAATACTGTATATTTTTATTTCATGCATTCTTCTTCCTTTTCAAAGCATGGTCAAAACCTGGCGCCTACATCACCCACAATGCAATCTGATGGCAGAGATTTGGGTATGTTATGTTAGTAGCAGCCACTAGCCACAAGCGGGCTACAGGGGTCTGGTAAGCTCACTTCTTTGTTCTCCACACACACCCAGAATATTTTTCATTTTTAAAATTGTAGTCTCCAGCGCCTGTTGGTGCTGACTCAAGTGACATCACAGGAGGATGCTCCGGAGCCACAAAAGGCTTCATGCAACAGTATAGTACCAAGACCTGTAAACGTTGATGTGTAAAATTGGTGGAGTTCCTATTTAATTCCATCGCTATTAGAGGCATCTTGTTGGACAACTTTGGTTTATTTGTGGTAAACGAAATTCTTGCTGCTCATCACTGAACTGAATTCCAAAGAACCAGACCATGCATTACTGTTCTAACTGGGCCATTAACAACACTCAGACAAAATAACCATCTGATAATTTAATGGCAAACAGCCTAGCGCTTGAAGGAAACTGATCATTAAATTGTTATATATTAAAACTCAATCACAGGCTTAAATTACTAATTCAGTCACACGACTTGCACCATTTGTAGTCGCGGTCTCTGACCACTTTGTGTCATAGATTTATAATGGAAATGAAAGGCACATTACACAGAACCAAGCTATTCTTGTTGCAGACTATGATGACATTATCACAAGGAAACACTTTTAATCTTTTACCGTGCTGTTAATAACCACAAGTACATCTGCAATCAAAGCGTTTGCTCTGACAGCAGCTTATTTCTGTTTCAGTGAAAGTTGCCTTTTTTGTACAACTGAATTCAAATGAACATGTAAACCTGTCCCCCGTTAAGTGACATTTTCTCTCTGTTTACATGGTTTGGATGCTCAAATTAATTCAGTTCACTAATCAATGTTTTGTGCATCTTGTCTATGTGATGTTGGCCTTGGCATGGTTGCATCTTTTTTTTTTTTTTTAAAGCATCTTAAATGCCACATTGAGCCAAGTGAACAAAATGTTTTCCATGTCATAATGTGTGACCCCCTAAAGGTTGGGATCTTATTTACAGTGGCACTACTGATCCAACTGAGCACTTGGGTTGCATGATTCACGTGTCTGTGTTTCTTTGAAATGCTGTTTGATGCTGGTCTTTACGTCAAACTAGTGGCCAAGCTTGTCTTCTGGCTTTCGTGTTTTATACATTTGGACATATTGATAAAAAACACGTTGCTACTGTTCCATGCTGTCAGACAAGATCTCTATGTAAAGCATGTTATCTGTTCAGTTGTTTCAAGAAGTGCATTCATAGTCCATCCACCCAGCACTCACCAGGAGCATAGTAAACACTATTTGCCAAGGAATATCGTAGGCAACTTTAAGTCAACAAATAAGACACCAGAATTTCATTGAAATCCCAGTATGTACAGAGGTTAATACATATATGTAAACTCAGACTCAGTTCTTAAGTCAAAGCAACATTTTAGACACATTCTTTTGGCATATAAATGAACACTACATGAATGCCAGCAAGTATTATCACTCAGTGCTGCTAAGTCCTTACATTGATTTGCTATAGTGCTTTCCTATCAGTCAGTCCTTATTTCTCTTCAGACAAAAACAGTGTTGTGTGCAGCCTGTTGATCTCACACTGCTTATCTGTGACATCCACAGAAGACTGTAAGCAAAACATGTGGCAATGTAAATGTTTTGTGATAGTGTGAATAACTCGAGGAGCTTCTTTAATGTGTGTTAGCAGTTGATTTTAGCAACACTTTTGCATTTAAAACAATAATTGCAAAATTTAAACATTTGACACACCGACATCAATTTGTTAACTTTAGAAAATTCCATCTCAGCACCAATAAAAAAAAGTTGTCTCTGTAAAATGTGTGTATTTCTTGTTCCTGTCATAAATCTGGTGACCCTGTGTCTAAAATATTGGGTTTTTTATTCCGTAAGGTTTAAGATTTTCCTGATTTTACATAGAGCGACCACTACAGCCACACAGGCAAATTAGTTTATTTGAATGTTTACATTGTGGAGTAACACTGTGCTGGATCCAGATGGGTGGGTTTTTCACATCATCTACAAATACCAGGTGGGAAGTCAAGTTATCCAAACCAAGACCAAGTATTAACTGCCCACAATGTCATTCTTCTGTTTATGGTGGACTGGAAAGTCAGCCTGTGACGACCTCACAATGCACACAGCGCAGTTGAACCCATTTAGTTACACATATTCACAACAGAAATATCCTTTTTATGTAATCGTACAAAATCAAACATAACATCACGGTGCCTCAATATTGTCCATTGAATCTACAAAAGTCCGCTCTCCTCATTCCTGTAAAGCTGCCATCTTGGCACGGTATTTGCCCGTCATCTCCTGGGGAAGCGGCGTGGTGCCAGGACACGGCACCTGGCCCTCCACCTCGCAGATACACTCCCTCAAACAGTATTTTTTTGGCCCAAAGTTGGCGGGGTTGGAGGCCTGCATCTTGGCTTCAGCCTCAGCTTGTAACACTTCTCTGTAAACAAGGGAGGGAGTAAAATAAACACATTTATAGATTAGATTAGATCATAATGGGCCTTTTTCACAGAAGAAATTTTGACATGCAACATTAGGAAAAGTACAGTTGTAAATAATAAAACTAATGATGGCTGAATTCCATTTGGCTGCTCCTGCATTGTGCGTGCTGGCTCACCATCACACTATAATACTTTACAGGGACACTTGAATAGAACAGAGTTAATGTTATGACTAACACACAAATGCTTTTATTTCTCTGACAAATAAAAATGTCTGCTGTGGAAAAAAAGGCCTACTGTGCTGTGGACACACGCATGCTCAGTGTTAATTACAGTAAAGATATCTTACTGTGATTTGCCCAAAATCGTATTCACATGTTTTGAAATTTGTTTGTAGTCCTTCCCTTCCACATCCACCAGGACTTGCTCCCCATCGTCTGTAAAAGAGACAGAGGCAATTGAGCTTGATATGGTATATAATAATAATAATAATAATAATAATAATACAGGTCAAACAACAGTGCAAAGCTACACACCCAGGTAGAACTTCAAGAACGGTGATGGGGTCATATTTTTGAACATCATTATCTGGACCCACGGGTTTTTGTACTGAATCTGAGGAATATTGAAGAACACAAACTTTCTGCAAAACAAAAAGGAGAAAGACACAATTTAACAACAACTTGTCTGAATTCCAGCAGTTCATAAATTCTTCCTGGTTCTGAATGGACAATACCATGCAGTCTTTAATTTACCCTACTATTTTCTGATTATTAGTTGTCATAGCAACGGCCTTAAGGTTGCATTACATTAGTAAGTGAGTTATTTGATCTAAACCATAACATTGTCCACATTCTTTGATCTTTGAACAGTAATTATTCTGTATTATTCATTATCTCGTGTAATAACTATTGGCATGGACACTGCTGCTACCTTTCGTTAGTGGTTTTAGATGGATGTATTTGAAGGTCCATTTGAACTTTTTAAGTGTTATTTTTGGATGAAATCAGAGGTAGCTAACAGATACACAGAATAGTTCATCTGGGGTAAAAATCAAAATCAATTATCGATTAACTGGCCACAAAAACTAATTCCAGCTTCTGTAACCTGAAACTTTTCTGCCTCTTGTCTTCTATAATAGTAAAACGAATAATATTAGGGTCTTTAGACAAACCCCGTTCACCCGCCACCTGTTAAATGATCTCAGTTAAAGCGGTGGAGCCACTGAACCAGCTGTACCGCTGTTAGCTGTTAGCTGTTAGCTGACCTTGCTCCGTCGCTGAGCTCTCCGTGCGTGTTGTAATTGACCGTCATGATCTTCACTCTGTTCTTAAAGATGATGTCACCCTTCTGGAGGTATTCCAGAGTCCTCCTGATCGGAAATCTTCCTTTCATGGGCATTTTAAAGTCCTTTTTTTTTTTTTTTTAAATGTACAAAATGACATGGGAGAGGGAGTCTGCAACTGGAGTCGCACAAGCACACGAGAGTCGCCTGTTGATGACGTCGGAAGACGTTGTCACCGTCACCCGAGCAACCAGTTTGTTGTTAATGAGGAAAAAGCTGGTGTGATGTTGTTTCCATGTTTCCAAATCTTTATTAATATGAGAAATCCCACTTTACTTCGGCGGTAATGTCCAGGTGTTGGATAACAAACACTCTTACTGCCTTTGTTTTTAGCATGAACAGACTCAGTCATGTCATATTTCATAATTCATTGTTTATTTCTTTTATAATGTGCAGCTTCAGAGAAGCCAGCCTCAGAGACTGGAATGCTGATACAGGAGCTCAGTCGTTAACACATTTGTTTTATATTGTCATCGGTGTGAGGTAGAAATGTAGGGTTGTGACAAACTTGAGCAAAACATGAATGTTGTTTGAATTCCTCGATCTCAATGTTTGAAGAAATACATTTTACATGAGCAGAAAAACAAATTACATTTACATGGTATAAAATTTGAACCATAGGATACTCAATCCACAAAGCTGAGTTAAAAAAAAAAAAAAAAAGTTCTTATTTAATATCCTCTAATGTGAGAGCTGCTCATGGTAAATATTTTAAAGCCACGACATTTAAATTAACATTTTTCATACAGCATTTAATAAAATGCACTTAAGCAACTTCATCATGCACTGCAATGCACTATAAAAATTATAACAATGCTCCTTATTAGAACAGACAGCGACAAGATTATAAAACCCAGCTTAAAAACAACATGCACTCATTTTTATGAAATTACATGTACAAAGGTCATTTTACGACAGTGCCTTTACAAACAGTCTGTATGGGTTTTAAACCCAAATATTACAATTGACATTTATTCACAAGACATAATCCTGTTTACTTCTTTAAATCCCCATTACCATTCATGTTGCTGTGGATGCTTATTCTGAACCGTTATATAAGTGGGTAAGCCGATACACATCTCATTATGGTCTTCAAGACATCAATGCACTTGAGACTGGCTTCCCAGAAAGTCTAGTTTATTTTTTTTAAATCAGGGAAACCTGCCCAAAAGTACTTTAAGTACACTTAGTATGCAACAAGCAAATTTGTTCACAACAAATTAAAGTTTTTAGAAAACATATAAAACACAAAGTTTTAGTCAGCATTAACACAGTGGAACGCCACAAAAGCTGATTGATGTGCACTTAGCAGAGTACAAATGCAAACACAAGTACAAAAACAGTAGCATAGCTACACATAAGTAACATTTATGAACCCAAAATCTTAATCTAACTCCTTAAAAGAAAACAAAATGCCATTGATAAATACACATACAAAATGCAGATTGAGAACAATAATGACACTGATGGGACAGAAAGAAATAACATATAATTGATTGTCATAAAGGGAAAAGTGATGAGGTGATTGCACAGGTTATATTAGCAACACATTCATGATAACCCAGAAATAAGTGTACCTAAACATAAGAACACCCCCAAGCCTAAAAATCTCTGAGATGTCTTTCAGTACAAAAAAAGGACATATTGTCAATTTAAATGGCTAATTTGGCTTACAAGACCTTGTGAATGTGAGTTAAAAGTGAACAAGAGAAGTTGGTTATGTTATAATGATCAGAGAATGCACTGTGTGGTAATGCTATGATAGGCAGTCCATATCAATATAGATTAAGGATTAATTAATTGAGGTTTAAGTTAGTTCTTGTACCTGACTGAAGTTCCCATTCCAACAATTATTTGAAGTTATTTGATGTAAAGAACTGTACGCTAATGTCTCGCACCTTCTAGGCAATTGTGTCAGTTTAAAGGTTAAAAAGGGAAAAAATGATTATAAACGTTTTAAATCTGTGTTACATGACATTCAGAAAAGTCACACTTTGTAAAAGCCTGAATTCTCAATTAACAGATCTAAAAGGTCAATAAAAATACCAGATTACACAGTGCCAATGTTCCCAAATGCCAACATGAACCATTGCTTTACAGCTTCAAAGTACACTTTTTTAGGTAAGTACTCAGATGTATTAGAGTCTTAAGATTAGACTTTTTAATAAATAGGTGAAATTCCACTTCCACGTGTAAGATTTCTGTTTGTAAGTTTTAGATTACGGACTGGGCTTGTTAATATAGCTCATCTGATATCTGCAACAATTGCTAGTGCTATGTGATCAACATGAGAGCATGGTAAGGCTTATGTAAGACTAAAACTATATAAAAGGCTTAGCTCAGAAGGTAAAGTTCACATGTCATCAGCTCAAAGTGCTATAAAGACATTAAAGGAGATGAGCACTGTTGCAGCTGCAGAGGATTCCTTTTTCCTTCAATTCAGAGTGACTGAGTTTAGGCCAGAAACTCAAGATTACCACACTGCATCAGAGCCAGAAAACATTCAAATGTTCATCCTGGCTTTCCAATGATAGATTATCTCGATCTACCAAGGATTCCTGAATGACACTGCACCATGCATCATTAGAAAACAGGGAGTTGCTGCAGGAGTTTGGACTGGGGTTCAACAGTAAACCTCAAGAGACAGAGAGTACCTGAAGTGGAGACTCATTAATCTTTAATTCGACAGTTCTGGGTGCTGGAGTGATGGGGTGTCATTCTGTAGGGTCAGAGTCCTGGCTGTTATACTCAGCCGTCTCCATCTTGAGGATGTAGGGAATGATGCTGTCAATAGAGACGTTACCTATCAAGCCAGTGAAGAAGAGCTCCTCTGTGATGCTGGAGTTCATGAGGCGCAGGGCTGGGAGACGAGTCAGGATACGGGTCAACCTGGGGAAACAAACAATTCATGCAAAATCATCTTGATATCTTGTATTAACTTTGATAATAAGATGTTTTTAAAAGCTCCTTGGCATTTCCTTACTATGCACTCACTGTGTCACCGTCTTCAAATGTATGTCAAGTTAACCAGACAGGCACTTAAAGGTATCTTAAATGGTATCTAGCGGTGTAATTGCAGATCTATCACTTCCCCCTCCCCTTTCAAGCGTAAAAGAGAAACTAGGGTGGCAGAGAAAGACGTGAAAACCCCAATCTAGAGCCAGCGTTAGGTTTGACCCTTCTGGAAAACATGGCAGTTCAACAGTGAAGGTGACCCACAACATCTGTAGATATAAAAGGCTCATTCTAAGGTAAAAAAAACCATAACAATTCTTATTTTCAGATGATTATACACTAATGAAAACATACCTATGAATCCAATAGATCCTCCTAAATGTTACACACTAGACCTTTAAATCCTCTACTTCTAATCCTTAACCACCTCCTGCTATGTCCCAAATGTATTCATTTATTTATTAATGGATTTTAAACTGAATGCCCACTATTAATAACATAAAAGTGGATAGAGTTAAAATATTTTTAGTGATTAATCCACCCAGACATATTGCCTGGACCAGCCAAACATTGGTGCTGTTGCCCCAGGAGGCAATAAATGGGAAGGGGACTGGCCAAAAAACTGGAAATCAGAGACTGTTGTGCAAACATATTTATAAAGATCTGCTCCATCAACATCCCGGATCCCTAACAGGCGGACCATGTTCTGACCATGCGCCTGACGAGAGGAAGAGGACTCTGTGTTTAAACCAAAGATTCAATAAATACTTATATTATTTTATTTTATAATAATATATTATTAAAATATATAAATGCAATTATCTATTTCTGTGTGTAGCATGAAGAGACTGTATAATGATGAATTAAATTATCTTTTTTTCTGTATTGTTCAGGTTTGTATTGGTACTACTAAGACTTGGAGTGGATGTTTCAACCTATTATCCAATACTTTTTGGCGTTGTTTGCTCACTTTGTGACTACTTTTCATGATCTTAATCGCAGCATGTGTTGTTTATGTATCAGGTTGAACAATCACATGTAATTCACTATGGTTTTACTGCTACCACTATGGTGGGCAGGTTGAGCAGAGATTAGATTAATGTATCAGTGTACCTGTAAGTGTCCTCTGGGTAGGTTTTCTGCACGTAGTCCTGCAGCTCCATTAATGCTTTCTCCTGGAACTTCTCAATCTGCCCGCTGCCGTCCACACCCGGGTGATCTGACAAGTCAAACACACAACCGTTGTTGCAAGAATGAATTATTTTTTTCATTTGATTGAAAAAAGCTCCAATGTCTATTATTAACTTGACTAAGAAAAGCAGACTCACCGGGGCTGAACAACACTATAGCCTTCAGGTAGGCATATTCGTAGCTGTCAGTCTCCAACCTCGTCATGCTGTTACAGAACTCCTGGAACTTCCAAATATGCTCCATCACCTGCTTCACCCTCTCCCCCGATAACTTGTCTGAGAGAAGAAAATGCCCAGTTTGATATATCAAGATTTGTAATTTACTTATTTAGTTTTTGATTAAGCATTATCTAACCAGGAAACTCACTGGTCACTCAATAAAAAAACCTGTCATCACCAAAATTTGCAATTTCTCATCACTGTTAGTTAATGAAAATGCTGTCATGTTGTTTTGACATGTAGTAGGCCCTAATTAACCCAACAAGATTTTACTGTAGCGTGGATATGCATAAATTTGCCAATTTACATAAAAATTCAAACTATTTTTCACATGGACAAAAAAACAAAGACGCAGCACTGTCTGGGGTTCATGAGTGTAATTCTGGAATAAAGTGGTAAAACACATGATTTTTAAAAAAGTTATAACACAGTCAAATGAACAATACCTACAATGCCACAAGTGCTTGTCAAATGAAAAGAGCAATGAGAGAAAACTTAGCTACAGTCCTCCCCAATGGCTCTTCTGCGCTTTAGGCCTTGTTTGTTATGGTAACAACTCACACTTCTGTTTATATGTGTGTGTCCTACTGAGAAATGATGACGAGGTCTGTGGTCCATACCGTCCTGGATGCTGCTTTGAAGGTGGTTGATGATGGCGGTGAGGATGGTTGACAGGTTCATTACATGAGCGCACTGAGCAAGACCCAGAGTAAACAGCTCATTCCAGCAGGCTCGCACCAAACTGGTGTTTGCCTCCTGACTGCGAAAGAGAGCGACAAAAAACATAGGTGAGTGTCAGCAAGTAGATGGATGAAAAAGCACTTCATTTCTGTAATGTTCACAACAGATGAGTGGTTGCAGTGTAATGGTATTTCCTAAAGCCCTTTTTCAGACGTGGAGCACACAACATTGCTGGCTTTATTAAATTGACTTTTTACATTATTGTTCCTTATGGCTTCATTCAGACATGACAGGATATTTATAGGTGAGAGAAGAGAGAGAGAGAGAGAGAGAGAGAGAGAGAGAGAGAGAGGGTACAGTGGTTAGGTAAAAAGTGTTATAATAGAAGAGAAGGCAGCAGTGATAGATTTAAAAACATATTTGCGGTTTGAACCTTAATTAAAACTAGCCCCTGCTTCTCCCAGTGAAGCCAATGACACATTTTCACACCAATTTCACCATTTAATGTTAAAAGAGAGCAAACTGTGCTGCCTGTTTTATAATAAAATCCAACATGAACAAGCACTGACTGATGATAAGGACTCATCTTTAATCCCACTTTGCTCACATGCTTAATGTAAAGTGTTTGCTGCATATCCTTTATGCTAAACAAGTTCTTATCTATCTATCTATCTATCTATCTATCTATCTATCTATCTATCTATCTATCTATCTATCTATCTATCTATCTATCTATCTGCCTTTTACGTAAAAGTGACAAGGGTTCTCATTCAGACATGAGACCAACACGTTGCATTGCCATCAAATGAGGTAAAGGGGTGCATGTCTGAGAGGGGTTCAACAGTATAATATAGGCATTTGTGTGTCAAATGTATTCTCACCCAAGAGCTGAGAAGGCAGGGATGGAGCGTGCCCAGTGCATGGAGAGAAAGAGAAGTCTGGATGCTGACTCACAGATGTAGTGTACATTTAGATACTCAGGCATCGGGCTGGGCATGGTCAGCTAGACAGAGAGGAAAAGGAAAAAGGAAAAAAATATTTGATATATGATGACCTACAGATGAATGCCAGCACAAGTGTCTCAATTGCACTTGACAACGAGCCACTTGAAAAGTTTCTGTCAATTTGTATTCCTAAATGATTAATAATGCCAGTCAAGTGTGTCTGTTATACGAGTCAACTCCACCCACCTTAAAGCCAACATGGCTGTCTGTGAGCAGTGGTCCTTCCACCTCAATGATGGGGGTCTCCTGGTCTCGACCAATCAGCTGGATGGTTGTTCCACCAACACACTGCAACTTATCTGCCAGTCTCTGTCTGACCCCTACTTCAGGTGGGTTGAAAACCTTGGCCAGGGTGTCAAAGGCACTGTGCAGAACACACACACACACCTTTAAATTAATTGATCTGACAGAAAATGCTCTGCAGCATAAACATAAATGAGTCTGCTTCTTGCATGCCTATCATTTCATACATACTTGAGTAGGCATGAAAAAGGTAAAATCAGATAAAAACCAATGCTAATAAATTCAAATTGAACACTGAATATCCATCTAAATGCCTAGAATAGGCAGATGTCAGTGGTAAAATCATTGTGGATACTACCAAACTAAATACAAATGACATTAAATGTTGCATTGCACTGTTGACTGACCGTGTTATCTCACTGGCAGATTGCTCTTCATGTTGGCTGTCCGAGGTATCACCATTGTTTAGATTCTCTTTTAGTGAGTCACTCAGGTTGGCCAGTGATGTCACCACGTTGGCTAGTGTCCCCAAGTCCCCTTGCCCAGAGTCCATCTGAAGACAAATACAACAATGCAGATTATTTTGTTGCCTGCAACAAAAAGGAATGACAAATGCTTCTTAAAACATATTAAAGGGATGGATAAAGATCTAAAAAACAAATCTGCCTTAAATTGGGAAGGCGAATTGGTCGCCCCCGACTAATTTTAGAATTGGGTACAAATTTCTGATAGTTCGGTTTTCATTTGAGGGACGTGTCCATGGCTGATTAATTGCCTGAACAATCAAAGATCTACTGTCTAAAGATCTGTTATAAACTGTGGTGTGGTGTTTTAATATTGTTAGAGCAATATGCATTACGGCTAAAACTGTGGTCTTGACTCAGACCACAGTGACATAACTGAACTTCAGAGCACAAGACAGACTACAATGTCTGCATATTTCAGCCATTTGCAGCTCCATTATTATTTTTCTCTTCCTAGTTTCAGTTAATAATAAGAATCAGAATCAGAATCAGAATCAGCTTTATTGACCAAGTATGTGTACACATACAAGGAAGTTCCAAGAACAATTTATCGGTAATTAGAGAGAGACATACAGCTTATAACAGTGACAGCAAATCTGAACAAAAATCGGTAAACATAAACATAGAATTATTATGTACATACAAGTAGGTGAAAACAGATGTGCATATAAATATATATATAAAAAGCAACAGTGATCAACAACATACAATGTCAAATGTTTCTATAAACTGTAAACAAAATAGAATTGCAAGTAATGCTGCCTTTCTCTCTTTTTGTCAACCTTGACAGTTATTTAGTTTGAATAAACTTTATTAGAACTGTCAATGGATAAAACTGACCAAGGGTTCTGTGCTTACGTACAGTGTAAGCATAAAAGTTGCAGGTTCTGACGGTTCAGACAGACGATTAAAAACGTGAAATGTGAGTTAAAGATACAAGATTAATAAAACCGTGCAGTGTCTGCCCAGCTTAACAGACTTTCAAGTTCAAACTTCTTTATTTGTTGAAACAGTAATATTAAGCACCAAATATAACAGCCTCGTAATGCTGATTCTTCCTCCGTCTGAAGAATCATACTTCTATAACAGGTAGCAGAAGAGACAGACAGCAGCAGAACAGGCAGATGTTATATTTACAGTAACTGCAGCTGTACCTTTGAGTCAGTGGCCAGCAGCAAAGTTCCATCACTCTGGATGACCGGCTGTTGGATATTAACCAGCATCCCCTGGTCCAGCAGGCTGGATCTGCACGACACAGAGCATCATCAAAAACCAGTTCACATAACATCAACAGCTGAGAGATAGAACAACAACGCACAGAGCCCAGGCCTGAGGTTTGTCTGTAGGTCTGATTCCCACTGACCTGGAGCCATCTGTCTCTGTATCGGAGATAAAGGTTGGCGTGGCGATGAGTGGACTGTTTAGGTCTTTGCGAATGTAGATCTTTTGGGTGGAGGCAGCACAGTTTGCATGCTTCTCTCTGGGCACTACATCAATGGGCTTTCTCTCGCTCTGGACAGCTGAGGATAAACACCAAGCAGACATACTGTATTTACTTTATTTCTAATGGTTTTAAGTGGTTACAATAATAAAAGTGATCCCAGAGGAATGTTGTTTTTGCTTAGGTAGAGAGTCTTGTTAAACAACATCCTTTTGGTTTTGATGAATAGAATTCTTCAAATTATTAAGGACATGCAATGGATCAGGGGGTTGAACCTGTATTATTTGGTTAAAGCAAAGCCTCGGCTCTCTACATCCTGCATAATTTAATGCAGTTCTATGCCTTTATGGGGCAAGATGGCCTTCAGCTATACAATATGTATACTACAAAGTACATGAGATTAGTTACATTTATATCACATTTTTCCAGTACTCCCCAGCTATATAGAACAATAATTAATAGTAATATGTTATAATGTTTTTGTTTGTTTGCTATAGATTGCTGTCTAAAAATCGTCAGCCGACATCCACGTACAATAAAAGGTTACAACTACTGTTACTGTCTACATGCTTTTGTATGATGTCCTAACTCACACTCAGTCTTCATCCCCATTTTAAGGCATTTCCTCAACCGACAGAACTGGCAGCGATTGCGGTGGTGTTTGTTGATCACGCAGTCCTGTTTACTGCGGCAGCTGTAGGTCAGGTTCTTCCTCACGCTGCGCTTGAAAAAGCCTTTACATCCCTCACAACTGACCGCTCCGTAGTGACGCCCTGAACAAGAGAGAAAACTAGTCAGAGTGTGTGAGTCACTGCGTGCGTGGGTGCACATCAGATTGCTTACAGTGTGTCAGATTTGGCATCAGGATACATCAGTAAAGGCACAGGCACAATACCCAAGTAATGTAACTGTGAGCTTAAGTACCTGAAGCTTTGTCCCCACACACCACACAGTACTCCACCGGCTGCGGTCGGCTCAAGTCCCCTGACTGCCCTAACAACCGTTCCATTGACACTGGATCTGTGACAATCTGGAAAGCAAAGTCAAATACAGACCATTAATCTTGTGCTCCACCTTAATGCAATGTCAAGATCACTGTTATAACACTGTCTGAAAATAATAACAAATGTCAACACCAAGATACTGCCAATAGTATCATCACAGTACAGGGGGCGATATTATGGGGGAAATGTACCTGTATCCTTCCTGGCATCAGGCTGTCTGCAGAAGTGAAGATGAGCTGCTTAGTGTTGTGGCTGTCTGGTGAGGCTAGGATAACCTTGCCTGCCCCTGAGCTGTCTGCTGTAGTCAGAATGAACTGCTGTTTAGGAGCACTGGAAGGCTTCATCGCTGTCACTATCTGGATCTTCTGACCTGTCTGCTGGTCTGTTACAATCTGAAGGTGTTAGAGATCAAGGAGGGAGAAAGAAAGAGAGGGAGGTGGAAATGAACATGTACCAATGGGGTAAAAAAGAAGAAGTGAGTGACACTGAAGGTGGGAGAGCTAAGTCACATGTTGTAACATCAACTAGTTCATTGCTGCGGCTAATGCGCCGAAAGAGGACAACGTCACCAGGTAGCAACAGTGTCACATTCCCTGAAGCCAACTAATGTTGAGAGTACAGCAATTACCTGTATTCGCTGTGGTGTTGTGGCAGGCTCAGCGGAGATGACCTGAAAGCGCTGTGGAGACTCACTCATCACTGAGTCTGAAGGAGAGGATGACACCTACAATTTGAAATACATTCCAACAAGCTTAAACACATCAATAAGTCTGCAGTACAAATATATTTTACACAATGTAAAGCATGGAAATGTTACTATACAACCCTTTTGTAAATACAAGTTGGAACTGCCAAGAGAACCTGGCTACAGAAACTATGTCTCTATGGCAACGAATAAAGGTATCATCCACTAACCACACAGCCAAAGAAAGGAGCGCCACAGTATTTTCAATCAAAAACAACCTTCATATGGGTTACATGGATCCACTCAGACTGCCAGCAAACAGTACATCATTGAAGTCTTCCTTTGCACACTCACCTCTGCCTCGTGCTCAGAGTCCACTTTCTGCTGAGAGAGCAGATTGAGGTTGGTCGTCATGATGATGTAAGGTCATTAGTGAGGTCTGTTTGGAAAGATTTTATCTTCATTGTTAAAAACACGAGTAATCAAAAAAAATAAAAAATGCTGTCACAAAAAAACCTCACTCAAAAATTTAAAAATTCTTTCTTTTTTCAACTTTAATACATCAGATGATAAGTTCACACAAGCAGTAATTTAATGGTAATAAACAAAACAGAAAATAAAATTAACAAAATAGTTACAATATCTGTTTACTGCTCCACCTGTCATTAATTCCAAGTTAAATATTTTCTTCCACATCACACCTACTGTAGTATGCATCCTGTTCAGACACCTGAGGTAAATGTTTTGTCTGACAAATCCAGCCTTGGCATGACTGCAGTGATGTCACCACAAGCCAAATCCATGACCTCTGAGCGTGACCTGGACATGAGATTTGAGAGACCGTTGATAACCAGATTACACTACGGTCTGAACCTCACAGTGTCCAATATGACACTGCGACAAGGGTGGACGACTACCTCCCCTCCATATAAATCTACCACCACTTGTATGCACATCCCGAGATCTCAGCTGCTTTTCCTACTGTTGTCTTTATTTGTGCAATTTACATGTGACTTCATACTGATTATAGAGTCAGAAAGTTTTGTATGTATCCTCATATATTCACACACAGAATGAGTTGACACCACATGAAAAATATGATAGTGCGAGCAGAAAACCCTTTTTTGCAAACCCGGTGATAGCTGTGCAAAAAAGCAAAGAGGAGAAATCATTAAAAGTTATATAAACACATTTCAAGTGATCACTGCATTTGAACACAGTAGGCAAAGGTGCATCAAATTAGCGGAGAAACACTGTAATTAAGTACTCTTTCCACAAATACCCTCTCTATGCAAATGTAATACACCTAATGGTACAACCCTCACCTCCACTATTGTATTTGAAAATCTATATTTTAATTGTGAGTGACCACAGTGCTTTTGAGCATCTTCCTTAGAAGAATGAAGTGGCAGCATGTACACCTGACACCAATAACCTTTTTACACTTGACAGTTCTGACTGTGTCTTTGTTGATTTGGGATTTTAATAAAGAATACAGTTTGACAGCTTAAGGGAAAACTGATTTATGTGCCTTCAGCAGCTCCACATGCAGTGACCAAAGGGAGGAACATAATGCTTCATATTGTTGACCAATTGGACAAACTGAATGCCAATCAGTACCTCCTTCCAGAGACGCATCAAAACACAGAACAAAATGGCGAATCTGGCAGTCAGCCAATAACACTGGATACGAAACCTTATGATAAATATATTGGAGCAATTTTCTTTCCAGACAGCAGAGTGTACCATATGTCGATGTGCTTATAATAAATGTAAAAAAAAAAATGCAGCTTTGGTGAATAATGTCACACTCATAGTAATTTCAACCCACTACTGTCCCCGGGATGGCAAAGGTAAAAGGGTCGAGTTCATCTGCAAGCAACTACAGCTTTCCAATGTTAGCTGTTCAGGCTAATATAAGAGAGCTACAAGTAAACGCAACAAGGGCTGCTTGAGGAGCCGACTGTACCCGTCTCTCCCCTTGGACATGTCGGTGTAACAAGCAGGGATTGGTTCGGGTTACAATAGCAGTGTCACCTATTAATAATTAGTTTAACTGTCAGTAAAGCATATCAGACTTGCGCCCAGCGTTTCGCGTCCCTTTGCCCAGATCCCGAGCAGGCAGAGTCGGGCAGGAAGGGAGCTCCGCATCGGCAGGCTAACAAGCTAGCTGGGAGATTAGCTGCGCTCTTTTTTTTTTTTTTTTTATCATCCAGTATCTCGGAGAGCTTTGTACGGTTTTCAATCCGGGACCGAGACTTACCTCCGAGAAACGGTGGTCACGGATTTAGCGCTCTCTTCTATTTTATAAAATATTTGTTTTGGTTTTCTTCTGTTAAAGGTCATAGTTCGTGACCCCGCACCGCCAGCGCGTAGATGATGGTTGAAGGTTTTTTTTTTTTTTTTCTCTCTCTCTCTCCCTCTCTCTCCCTCTCTCTCTCTCTCCCTCTCTCTCTCCTTCCTCTCGTGCGCGTCCCCCGCGCGCTTCCAACCCCCACCCACCCTTGGCGCGAGCCAGACAGGACTGACGTCATCATGTCTGACTATCTATGGATTTCGCTGTCAAGTTATGTGTTATAAAATTAGCACAATTAAAGAAGAAAACGTGTAATAACAGAAGTATTAGAGACAAACTGACAAGCGTTGTTTCTCATTGGGTGTGTGTCTCCTCAATGGAAAAATAAAACACAAGTGACAGGCACATTTATTACATTACAAATATGTATTTATGTATAAAGTAAATTCATAGCCATTTGATCCATTTGTATGATGTAGTAGGCTAATTATGTTTTAATGTCTTCAAATTTGACTCTGACTTTGTTTTTTGGACTTTTGAAGAATGTCAGTTCCTCTTTGGCTCTAGTTACCAGGACAAAAAACATCTGTACAGTTAGCTGCTGTTAATGTATAGGAATACCATCACCGTGACAAATATGACATCCCTTTTCAACACATTGTCTATTACTATTACTATAAAAAAAGAAAAACAGCCAGACAGCTTTGATCACAAACTTTTTATCACTTTGCATGATCAAAACAAATGATAAACATTATGGTTTCTCTTTCCCTTGATGTGAATATTTAGCAGTAGATCGTTATACAACTGCATTAACTCATATTGCTAAATTGCAGTAAAGTGCCTCATTGAGATTTAAAATACAAGAGTGTCCTGGCCAAGATTGCAGCACCAGAACATAAAACATATTGAAAAAATGTATAAAACACCCTTGGGTAAAATATAAAAGAGTATAATCTAATCATTAGATCAAAAGTGTAAAGGTAAAGATGATAAAATGACAGCAATAAATATACCATAACAAGTAATATTAACAAATATTAATATATTAACAATAAAACACACACATTGCTCAATTCCTTCATTTCAGGTTATTTACAATTAATTTAAGAGAGATGTTGCTCAAACACAGTGTTAAAAAACATTTGGTTAGGATTTTATTTATAATGCAGTTCTCAAGCGACTTATCTTCTGTAGGCTATAACACACTGAAGCAGGGATCTCAAATTCAAATTGGTGTGGGGCTGGTGTTGGCATCTCATAGGAGGGCAATTTTAATATAAAAGTACTACAAGAAAGCACAATATTCTGAAAATATTTCCATTGCTAACACCCTACCTAACAGAAAAAGCAGCAGCTTAATTGTATATGAAGGGGTAGTTTGAATTGATATGAAACAACTAGAAAACAAAATCTTGCGGCCCAGATTATATTCTATTTTTTACATCATGTTGTGGCTGAAAGCAGGGGGATGGAGGCAGGGGGGTTTCCGGGAGGGTGTTAGAGTGGCCTGAGGTGGCCCCTGAAATCTGATTGGCCACTCCAAGTGCCACCCCATAATCCTAACTTCTTTCACTCCGCAGTGTCTTTCAGAGGCTGTAATGGGCTCTGTATTAAAGCTAGTGAAGATGGAAACTAGATGACCTAACGCATCCATTGTTAGCAACCATGTGGTGCTAACATGTATCGGGAAGGGGGCTAATGGAACAACTGACATGGACGTTTTCAAAGGAATCCCTTGACCTCTGGCCTCAAGATATCTGAATAAAAATGGGTTCTATGAGTACCCAAGAGTCTCTCCTTTGCAGACATTCCCACTTTATGCTAATGCATGCCCTTTTTTTTGCATGTGGTATACATGTGTTATTTTTGCCTAGTGTATTTGAATATTTCTGCATACTATGGTCCCTAAACAATATTTAAATTGCCTAAATTGGTAATGACGGTAATTGGAGAAACATACTTGATGTCACGTGGAAATCTTGTGTCCAGCAGTTATTATGGTTTTGTATTTTTCATTTTGTTTTTTATTCAGTTTAGTTTAGTCATTTTCTTTTCTTTTCTTTTTCTCACCATAGTCTAGTTTTTATTTTAATTTCAATTAAAAAATATTTTTATTGATCTATAAAAACATTGGTGCCCAGTAGTTACATAATCTGCGTATTTAAAGTTTATAATCTGGATTTATTTAAAGGGGAAAAGGAGGACTTCGTCATGGAAAAACATCAGACACAAATCATTATAATAAGCAGGGTATATTCTATGTCTTCAAACATTTCTCTGCAGTCTTTAAACAAATATCCATCTCATCACAACATTGTTGTATTGTTTCATCTGCAGTTTTTTTTACCTTTATTTGTATTTAAACAAATGGAGGTAATGTGAGTGTGTTTGCATGGCCCCATCAAGTAAATAACTATTCCAACTAATATATTGAATGATATATATATATATTCATATTTGCATGAGCCATTTGCCTGCATTTACATGACCTCTCCCATTTTATGGAAACAATTAGAGCTTTAATGGTCCAATATCAGCAATAACAAAACCCTGAATGACCACCAGGTGTCGCCCTGCACCACCAGACATGATAGGACTGAGTATGCAGGATAACAAAAGGGCAGACCATCGAACTGCGGCCCTGTAAAAGAGAGGAGATAAACTATATTTGCCTAACAACGGTTAAATATATTTGTTACAGCAGCTCAAGAGTCAAAAGTAGAGGAAAGAAAGAGGGAGCTGTACACACCTTTCACTTACAAAGACTTAACACCTATGTACATACAGTGTATAGCATTATTCTAATATATACACTGAACAAAATTATAAACGCAACACTTTTGTTTTTGCCCCCATTCATCATGAGCTGAACTTAAAGATCTAAGACTTTCTCTATGTACACAAAAGGCCTATTTCTCTCAAATATTGTTCACAAATCTGTCAAAATCTGTGTTAGTGAGCACTTCTCCTTTGCCAAGATAATCCATCCACCTCACAGGTGTGGCATATCAAGATGCTGATCAGACAGCATGGGTATTGCACAGGTGTGCCTTAGGCTGGCCACAATAAAAGGCCACTCGAAAATGTGCAGTTCCATCACACAGCACAATGCCACAGATGTCGCAAGTTTTGAGGGAGTGTGCAATAGGCATGCTGACTGCAGGAATGTCCACCAGAGCTGTTTCCTGTGAATTAAATGTTCATTTCTCTACCATAAGCTGTCTCCAAAGATGTTTCAGAGAATTTGGCAGTACATCCAATCAGCCTCACAACCGCAGACCACGTGTAACCACACCAGCCCAGGACCTCCACATCCAGCATCTTCACCTCCAAGATCATCTGAGACCAGCCACCCGGTCAGCTGCTGCAACAATCGGTTTGCATAACCAAAGAATTTCTGCACAAACTGTCAGGAACCGTCTCAGGGAAGCTCATCTGCATGTTCGTTGTCCTCATCGGGGTCTCGACCTGACTGCAGTTTGTCGTCGTAACCGACTTGAGTGGGCAAATGCTCATATTCGATGCCGTCTGGCACTTTGGAGAGGTGTTCTCTTTACGGATGAATCCCAGTTTTTACTGTACAGGGCAGATGGCAGACAGCGTGTATGGCGTCGTGTGGGTGAGCGGTTTGCTGATGTCAACGTTGTGGATCGTGTGGCCCATAATGGCAGTGGGGTTATGGTATGGGCAGGCATGTGTTATGGACAACGAACACAGGTGCATTTTATTGATGGCAGTTTGAATGCACAGAGATACCATGACAAGATCCTAAGGCCCATTGTTGTGCCATTCATCCACAACCATCACCCCATGTTGCAGCATGATAATGCACAGCCCCATGTTGCAAGGATTTGCACACAATTCCTGGAAGCTGAAAACATGCCAGTGCTTGCACGGGTAGCATACTCACCAGACATGTTTCCCATTGAGCATGTTTGGGATGCTCTGGATAGGCATATACGACAGCGTGTTCCAGGTCCTGCCAATATCCAGCAACTTCGCACAGTCATTTAAGACCAACATTCCACAGGCCACAATCAACAACCTGATCAACTCTATGCGAAGGAGATGTGTTGTACTGCGTGAAGCAAATGGTGGTCATACCAGATATTGACTGGTTTCCGGACCCCCCGGACTCCCCCAATACAGTGAAACTGCACATTTTCGAGTGGCCTTTTATTTGGGCCAGCCTAAAGCACACCTGTGCAATACCCACGCTGTCTGATCAGCATCTTGATATGCCACACCTGTGAGGTGGATGGATTATCTCGGAAAAGGAGAAGTGCTCACTAACACAGATTTTGACAGATTTGTGAACAATATTTGAGAGATGTAGGCCTTTTGTGTACATAGAGAAAGTCTTAGATCTTTGAGTTCAGCTCATGATGAATGGGGGCAAAAACAAAAGTGTTGCGTTTATAATTTTGTTCAGTGTATATATATTGCCAGAACAGGTCAAAAATGTCCCTACGGTCAGGTGTTATCAGGTTGATATCTGCTAACTGTGAAGGCCCTAGAAAATGATTACCATTTTCATTCTCATCAAATCATTCATCGTAGGTTAAAGGTGATCACTTCCCTCTGAGGGGAGAAGTGGGCTCAAACCATGCCAGAAAATGCCCCCCATTGCATTGAAGAGTCACCGGGTCCCCTCATACAGAGGACAAGACACACACCATTTGTCGAGAATAACTCAACTAAGCATATGCTCTGTGTGGACCAGGGTCATGTGGTTTTTGCACAACTGAACTGTCAAATGTGCGTTCATCTACAACAATGATATAGGATAATTACAATGTACAGTCATATGTAGTCCAAATATCATTACTGATATAGCCATGTAGTTAGCCTAATGATGTAACATCTGACAAATATGATTTATTAAACCAATATATACGTAGATGGGCTTAACAATGCGAACAAAAACCTTTTTTTCCCCAAGTACCACTTGACCCATT